TGTTTTCCTTTGAGATTTTTCAATAAAAATAAATCAGTAAAATTACCTTTGAAAACTAAATGTAAACTTAATTTAAAATTCAATAATATTCTAGACAGAATGGGAGTAAAAAGTCCAAAGAAAAATAAATTATTAAGACTTATATGAGGGGATATATCATTATCAAATATCTTCTCCCATTCAGTAGGCTTCCTTTTTGTTTTATTGATGGTTTCTTTTGTTGTGAAAAAACTTTTAAGTTTGATGNAGAGGGCGGTGTTACTGGCCCTCATGTGGGATCCGAACCAGGGCCCTGCTGCTCAGAGCTGGCGTCCCAAGCCAGCTCTTAACCAACGTGCCACTGGGCTGGCCTGAAACTGACTTTTTTTTATTCAGCATAATTGCCTTGAGACCCATCCAAATTGTTGTGTATATTAATAGTTTATTCCTTCTTCTTGCTAAATAGTATTCCATAATATGGAAATGTAACTTTTTTTTTTTTAACCATCAACTTGTTGAAGGACATCTAGGTTGTTTCCAATTTTGGGCTATTATGAATAGATCGTCTGTGAACATTTGTGCACACATTTCTGTGTAAACATAAGTTTTCATTTCTCTGGGATAAATACCCAAAAGTGCTATTGTTGGGGTTCTATGGTAAGTTTAGTTTAGTTTTTTTTTTGTTTTGGGGTTTTTTAAAATAATTTTTTATTTTTAGGAAATAGTGAAAACACTATTTTCCAGAATGTGTACACCATTTTACATTTCTACAAGTAATGTATAATTAATCCAGTTTATTCAAATCTTCACCAGCATTTGGTGGTATTAATATGTTTTATATTAGCCTTTCTGATAGATGTCCAGTGATATTTCATCATGATTTTAATTTCATTTTCCTAAAGGCTAAAGAAGCTGAGCATCTTTTCATGTGCACATTTATCATCCATCTATCTTGTTCAGTGAAATGTCTGCTCATGTCTTTTACCCATTTTATAACTGGAGGGGGTTTTTTTGTTGTTGTTTTTACAACTGAGTTTTAAAGGTTCTTTATACAAGGGTGCCAAAAAAATGTATAGAAGTGGACACTTTGGTCAACATTGCTCAAGCAGTAGTTCACCATAATCAGAAGTGTCTGGACACTGATGGTAACCACTTTGAGCACCTCTTGTAATTGCAGAAGTCAAACATGACTAATCTTCATCTTTTTTTATTGGTATATATTGAATATTACAATTTTAATAGTTTTCCTTTCTTAAAATGTGTATACATTTTTTTGGCACCCTCTGTATATTCTAGATGTAAGATCTTTGTTGGATATGTGACTTACAAACAGTTTCTCCACATCTGTAGCTTGTCTTTTCATCCCCTTCATGGGGCCTTTCATAGAACAAATGATTTTAATTTGCTTTCCCCCTAATATCAGTGATGGCAAGATATCTTCTCTCGCCACCTGTATTCAACACAGTATTTGAAGTTCTAGGTAGCACAATAAGACCAGAAAAAGAAATGAGCATACAGATTGGAAAGCAAGAGATAAATATGTCCTTATTTGTGGATGGAATGTTGTCTATGTAGAAAATCTCAAGGAATCTAAAGACAAAACAGAATAAAAAAATCCTCTTAGAACTAATGAATTCAACAAGAGCACAGGATGGATATAAGATCAACACACAAAAATCAATCGCACTTCTACATCATAACAATGAACATGTGGAAACTGATAGTAAAAACACAATACCATTTACAATCATTCTAAAGAAAAAGAAATAAAGTAAGTCTAACAAAACAGGATCAGGATCTGTAAGATGAAAATGACAAAATGCTGATGAAAGAAATCAAAGACTGAACTAAATGGAGAGGCATATCATGTTCATGGATTGAAAGACTCAATATAGCAAAGATGTCAATTCTCCCCCAAATTGATCTAGATCTAGAGCAATTCCTATAAAAATCCCTAAAAGGTTTTTTGGTAGATGTAGACAAGCTAATTCTAAAATTTTATGGGAAGGCATAGACCCAATAATCATTAAAACAAATCTGAATTTGAAAAAGAATAACATGAGAGGACTTACTCTACCTGATGTGAAGAGCTACTATATAGTTATCTAATTCGAAATGTGGTATTAGTAAAAGGATAGACGACACATAGACAAATGGAACAGAATACAGAACCAGAAATAGGCCCATACAAATATGCCTAATAATTTTTGACAAAGGAGCAAAAGCAATTCAATAGTTTCAACAAATGGTGCTGGAACAAAGGAACATCTGTAGACCCCCCCCAAAAAAAAGAAAGTCAACCTTGACCTAACCTCACACCTTTTACAAAAATTAACTCAAAATAGATTATGAACTTAAATGTAAAACATAAAACTACAGAACTTTCAGAAATCAGCGTAGGAAAAATTCTTTGGGATCGATGCTGGGTGATGAGTACTTTACTTGGCACCAAAAGCATGATTCATCAAAGGAAATATTGATAAAATGAAACCTCACTGAATTTAAAAACCACTGCTTCCTTGCAAGCCTGTTTTTTTAATTTATAATTTAGATTGGACAACTTATGGACATAAATTTGTATTATTCACTTTAACTTCAAAATATTGATGGAAAAACCAGCTCACTGTGCTGTCTTATCAAGAAAAAACACAGCTCTCTGAATGCAGCTGTCATGGTCAACCAAATGATGATAATGGAAGTGAATGCAGAGAAATGAAGACCAAAATAGTTCATGTAAATTTTACCTGGAATTATGATTCCTCACATATTGAGTTTTATAGCCATTATTGACTATGAATTGCTAAAACCACGCTTATGTTAATTGCAAAGATGTATTGGCTAACGGAGAAAAGGGACCACTAAAATTACTTGTCATGTACATAAGAAAAAGAAATAATTTGAAAGACAAAAGAATTATTTTAGAGAACATTAAGTTAAAAAGCCAACAGAAGCTGATGTTCAATATTTAATTGTAAGACTAATAATGTTTTGTAGACTTACAAAATAGCACTTTGAATTGCTAAGACTAAAAACCCATATAGGATTGCCAAGACAATGGTGAAAACAATAAAGATGTTTTCTTGGAAGTTTTGGGTGACTATGTGGCAAAAAATGATATTGGGTTGTCGGAAAAGTCACGATGCATTTTTGCAACGAAAAACATAGAAAAAATACATCATGACTTTTCCGACAACCCAATAAAGTATCATTTTTTAATGACCACAGCTTGACGAATTTAGGGACTGGTTAATGATATGGAGTAATACCAATTTATGAAACAAATAAAAGTAGCAAAGTATTTACTATTGCAACTTAATGAATGCATAGATATTGCTAACAGTGATTCTTTCAGTATATGTAATTTGAATGTGATATGATACAAAGGAAGAATTCTTCCGTTATTCAGTTTGATTAGTGACAAACACAACTAGTTCTAAACTGTATAAAAATGCAAAGCACCGACAGATGACTTAATCTAAAACACATTCTGAGTTTAAAGAAGGTATAATATGGTAAAAAAAAAAAGTGGTCCTTCAGATCATGAAATACAATGTTTACAGTTTTTACAGCTTCTATAAGGTCTATAAACTATAGACAGATGTAAATAAACTACTTTAAGAAATTATGATGGGAAACATATAAAAGAAAAATTACACTAATGCATTTTCTGCTAAAAGGACAAAACAACATTAGTTATGGGAATAAAAACATTAGGCTTAAATTTCAGCATTTTTGAGAACACTTCTCTCCCTCTCTTTTTTTTGGCCGCCCAGTTTATATTCATTCTCTGTAATAAAGCCCCAAGTCTGATCTGGAAAACCATTGCTCTTTCATCCATAACCTTATGGTAGAGTAGTCCTCACTGGCCTAAACTGACCAGCATCTCCCACAGTGGCTAGTGAACTAGGAAGGGGCTATAACTGAATCGCAAATAGTGAAATTCTAGGAGATTATGTGGGCTCAAGCTTCTGAAAAAACAGAAACTTCCTTTGTCCTCCAAGAGTTACTGGGAGAGGTTTTTCTACCCTCTCACATAATATGGCCTAAGGATGGCGAGTTCCAGAACCCATGCAGCCATCTGCTGTCTCAGGGGAGAGCTGTCACTGCTGGAGTGTAACTACGTAAAATCTGAGAAAGCAGAGTCAGACATTTGTTCTGACAACAGCATCCCTGCAGAACGTGCCCACCAGGGCAAATGCCTCATAGCCCCGTCTTTCTCAGGACTGAGGTGTGGATTTTCATACCCCTTGTGGTTATGGTAGGAGCCACTTTCCCCAGGGTCTGCTAAGTAAACATACGTCTTCCCCTCCTCACCTCTGCAGCGCAGGAAAAGAGTTCAGTGAGTAAGCCTTGTTGGCCACAAATCTAAAGTCACATTCCCTAATCAGTTTAATCAATAATAAAGGTTATATTATAATTACCACATGTCTAATTCCTGTGTCTATCCCTTAGCTGTTTCTAAATATAGGAGGAAAGTAAAGCGTTGCCAATGATTTACTCAAACCCAACAATATTATTATCCTTATTTTATACATGAGGAAGCTGGGTTTCAGAGAGGATGAGCAATTTGCACAAGGTCACTAAAAATCTATAGTATGTGGCAAAATTGGCTCTCAAACTCAGGGACCTCTTATTAATTCTGAAGTCTCCATTTTTTCTAACGTGTTCACATGCATATATTTCTGTTTATTAAAAACAGTCACATTTCATCTCCAGTCCCTAACAAGATTCTAAAAACCATCTGTGGAGTTGAAGGAAGAAAAAGGGAAATGAACTCACATTTACTGTGGACCAACTGTGACCCAGTCCTAAGCCACTCATTTGCATTATGTGCTTCCACCCTTACTACAATCTCCAGGAACATGCAGTAGGTAAGTGAGAAGCAGGTACCAAAGCTTGCGTACTCTCAATTTACTAAGTCGGTCTTGAAGGCCAAACATTCATCTTCAGCTATGAGAAGGCTGTTACAAGCAAAGTGCCCACTAACAGCATCAGTTTATCTGCCTAATTTGCACACTTACTGACAAGTTCTTCTCAATGGCACAGAACACAGCATCCACACAAAGGAACACCCCGGTACGCCCCACACCAGCGCTGCAGTGGACAATGATGGGTCCCGTAAGGTGGCTCTTCCTCACATAACGAACATACTGTATAAAGCCATCTACTGAGGCAGGGGTGCCATGGTCTGGCCAGTTGGTGAACTGCAACTGTTTTACACTGTGTCTAGTTCCTGTCTGTTGAGAGAAAGGGAGAGAGAGGAAAGCAGGTGGGGCGGGGGAGAAAGAAGGAGAGAGGTAGAGAGAGAAGAGAGATTTATCAACTTTTTACATTAGAGACCTCATTTCAACTTCTAATATAACAGTAATAATAATAATGGCTATATGGTAGTGTAATAAAAATAAGAATACTACAGGTAATATGAATTGAGCACTTATTGTGTGCCAGGTACTATGCTAGGAACTTCACATGCACTATCTCATTTAATCCTCACAGCAACCCTGGAAGGTAGGCACTGTTTTATCTCATTTTATAGATGAAAAAAGGGTGACTGAGAGATGTACACTAGGTCAGAAGGCTTACATGTTTAGAGCTGGGACTGTCATGTAGGCCTCCTGAATCCAGATCTAACATCTTTCTTTTGCACCATGAGGCTACAGAAAAAAACAAGAATCCAAAAGATGGCCTAACATGTTAAAAATAAGACACAACAGCAATCCGTCTTAGCTTAAATAGGATGATGCTAAATTAAATGAAAACAGGTAGGTGCTATCATGCTGCCTAACTGGGGGCACCAGCCTCCTTTGGGAATGAGGACAAGGTGGCTAACGACTGCGTGAGTGGACTGTCGCCCCCACTCTGTGCTGAGTTCCCTGCAAGTGGAGTCATGAAACCCTCCTCAGAGCTGACAGAGAAAGCGTTTTGAATTCACCCCTCACACCTTCCAGAGGATTTCATACCTCAGCCCTTTCCCCAATGTGAAGCCCTCACTTTACTTCACTGGGGACCCTTGTGGGAAAACTTGGGATGGGTTTCTTACTCCTCTTTTGCTTCCTCCTAATGCATCTCTTTTTCCTAAGTTCCAAATAGAAAAATCAAGTTTGAATCATTCGTACATGAAATTGAATGATGAAAACAATACTTGAAAATCCTGCGAAGGCACCAAGTTTTGGCACTCTCACCCTATCACATATTTCCGGGGTTAAAGCTCTCCTACACTGTTGACCACTGAGAACCTGCACACAGGTGGACCTCACTGCCGTCCTGACCCTGTGCCATGAAGACAGAACCCTCATGCAGATTCCCCAAACATGAACCCCATGTTTTTGAGGCTTGTGAGCCTCAGCCCAGAGGCCATCATCCTGGACCCCCCTTGCCAAGACTTCACAGGTGGACCCTAGAATTTGAGTCCTTGCAGACCGATCATTCCTCTGTGCCTCCCACCTGGCCTGTACTCTCCAAGCAAGCTGTCCTTCTGCCACAGCACGTGTCACATGTCATTCGGAACTGATATGTTTGGTTATCTTCCTTTCCCACTGGACTATAAGAACTCTAAGAGTTAAGAATGTGTCTGCTTTGTATCTCTAGCACCTGATAACAGGAGGGAATGAACGAGTACTAGGGGAGAGAGGGATGAGGTGAAGCCTCAGGTGTACAGTGCCTAGCACAGGGCCAGCGAGCTCGGCAGCAGTGTCAGCCAGTGTTATTATTCTGGGCCTCCCTGCTCCCCACTCTGGCTCTGATCCTCCTAAGACTCTCAGGTCTATGATTTCCCACCCCTCCTACTCCTCTGTCTCTTCAACTTTTCCATTTGCACTCAGGTGCCCCACCTCACAGTGAACTCTTAAAACCCCTCATCATTTCCTTAAGTGTTTCTTCCACTTCCTCACCTTGCCCTACTTGATCATGACACCTTCTTACTAAAATTCTTCAATGTCTCCCAATTATCTTCATAATAAAGTTTGGCTCCTTGCTGAAATCCAAGTTCTGGTTTGTCCTTGCTTACCTTCTATAGCTTTATCTGATCTCTCATTACTCCCTGGCACTGAAATTTTGTTTCAGAAACACTTAACTACTTATATTTCTTTATACATACTCCATGCTATTTTATATCTCAGTCATCTATTTCATCTTTCCATCTTTCTCATTTGGGTTATTCTCAATCCAGATGTCACCTTTTCCAGAAAATCTTCCCTCAAACCCCAAGGAAAGCTAAGTACTTCCTTTCTTAGCCCCCAAAGCCCCCCATAAAATCTCAACATTACCACTGAGCACAGTGATTGGAAGTATCAGTGAGCATACCCAACTTCCCACTACTCAGTAGGTAGTGACAGTGCCTGGCACAATGACTAGCATACCTTGTGGGCTCAATACACATCTGTCATACTTGGCAGAAGCAGCCAAAGTACATCCCAGGATTAGGCAACTCCCAATACTCGCTCTCCCACCCCTCCTCCCCTTTCAATGTTTTCATCTCTCTAGCCAGAGTTTGGTTAAGCACAAGAAGAAATGGTGGTGTCTTAGTTTCTGGTACCAGAGAGAAGTAAAAATAAATTATTTTTTAAATATCCCCAGTCTATATCCCATCTTACTCTAAACTTCTTATCCTGACCCATGTGCTTATTTAATGAAATATATATATATATATATATATATATGTATATATATATATGATACTTATTTTTTAAAAACTTACAGACTTCCTCACAACTTGAAATATTCGAATGATGAAATACTGAAGTATCTGGTAGTTCTCCAGGAAGACATAACAGTTTTTCAATTCCAAAGGCGTCTTCAGAGAAATGGGCCAGTAATGGTGGCATTTGACAATTCTATCTTCTATCTCTTTGGTTATCATGACAATAACATTAGAGTTATTTTCCAAAACCATTTGCCAAAAATCATCTGTGGTACCTGGCAGTGGTCCTTGGGTAGCAATATAAAAATACTCTTCTCCATCATTGGTTATTCTAATATAACTAGCATTAATGTAGTCCTTGTTTTCTCCAAGAGGAACACGTGTTGAATCATCTATTACAAAAACAGAAACATTTGGTAGATAAAGGAAAAGTGGGAGATGCTATATACCCAGACTTCACGAAAGCATTTCACACAGGTAAATCCATTTACCCCTTAGATGAACAGAGAGGATGGCATACGAGTTTCTTTTTAAAAGTGTTATTTAAGTCCATGATTTGAAATTCTTCCCTCCCCCAAACCTATTGACATGACCTAAGAAGTGTACAATTAGGGGAGCTTTGTTTTTGTTTTCATATTAAATCAGTTTCTACTAAACAGAGAAGGATACCATCAGTATCTAGACATTTTGAGAGATTTCTGTTAAATATAGTACAGGATTAGGCCAAGAGAGGTACCCACTAGTCTGCAACTCAATGCAGCAAAGGAGGAGACCTCTGAGGGAGCAAGTGAACAACACTCTTCTGCAAGTCTGGGGAAACTGCAAGCCCAATAGTGACTTAAAATTATGAGTCAGACAACTACAAATCAGCAAAGGATCCCCTGCTCAATACACAAAAATGCCTGAAAGATCCACCCATTAGAATATATGAAAGGGAGCAGATTTGAAAGAGCAGGGGAGGCAGGACAGGAAGGAGGACAGGGTTAGTTGCTGTAGCTGCAGTTCAGCACCCACTGCATCTCCAGTGAGAGGCAGCAGTGGAGGAATCAGTCTGCAGTGCTCACACTAGAGCTGGGAGCTTAAGAGTGAGCAGAAGCAGTGATCCCCTGAAAAAAGGTATCTCCCTTTCCTTCTCCGCATTGCAGCAGACTTCCAGTAGAGGTGGCTGGAAAGCTTAACACAATAGAACAACTCTGACAGCCATTACTGGAAGGGAGGCAGAGCCAGGGTCCAAACTTGCCTCCATAGCCTCACCCATCCTGACAGAGCCCAGTAAAGAAAGCTGAGAAACACCCAACAGGGGTGCAAGTCTTATGGCCATTGCTGGCAGAGAGGCGGAGTTGTGGGAGTTCAAAGTGACTTCCCTAGCCACACCAATCCACTCAGAGCCAGGTAAAGAAAACTGAGATGGCTTAAACAGTACATCAGGGCTGCAGAATCATGAACTTGACATTTTTCCGCCCTATTCATCCTGGTAGACCTTAGTAGAAGCAGTGGATATGCTGCCCAAAACAGCAGGGCCAGCGACCATTAGTAAAAAGGAGGTAGTGCTGGGAGTTCATAAAACTGGTTCTCCACCCCCTACCACATACCCCCTACCACAGTGGTAATGCCCGTAACCAAGGTGAGCTGGTCACACAAGGGACATCTACCATTCCAGAGGCTACACAGCATATTTCCTTTAACCAAAGTGACACAGCTCTACCTCAACCCCAGAGGCACAAATAGTGCTGGTAGGAGAAAACAGTACTTGTGCTATAGCACCATCTACTGGGAAACAAAAGAAAGTGCCCTACATATCAACCTGCTGAATTGTTGAGAGCAAAAGAGTATCTAAAGAAGAAAACGCCCAGGAAAAGAAACAATCCATCAAATACCATGAACAACCAAGGTAACATGGGAACACAGAAAAAAAAAAGAAAGGTCTGCAGAAATAAAACTTAAAAGTTATGGAAGACTGTGACTTAAATGACAAGAGAATTTAAGATTACAGTTATGAAGAAGCTAAATGAGATAAAAGAGAACTCAGAAAATAAGTTCAATGAGCTCTGGAAGAAAATTAACAAACAAAAGGAGTTCTTTACCAAAGAGATTGTAACTATAAAAAGAGCCAAATAAAAATTTTGGAGCTGAAGAATTCAATAAATGAGATGAGGAATGCATTGGAGAGCATTTGAAACAGCAAACCAGATGGAAGAGAAATGTATTGATCTCAAAGATAGAAACCTAGAAATAACCCAGGCGTGAAAAGAGAGAGAACCAAGAGTTAAAGAAAAAAAAATAGAAGAACTCTGTGAGATCTATTTGACTCCATTACAAAGAGCAACCTAAGGATAATGGGTATGCCAGAAGGAGAAGAAAGGGAGTAGGGAATAGTGAGCCTATTCAAACAAATGAGCAATGACAAATTCCTAAACCTATGGAAAGAGCTGTATCCTCAAATCCAAGAAGCTAACAGAATATCCAATTATCTCAATGCAAAAAGGCATTTTTCAACACACATTATATTAAAACTATCAAAAGTTAATGACAAAAAAAAGAATTATCAAAGCAGCCAGGGGTGGGGAAGACTGTAACGTACAAAGAAAACCCCAATAGATTCTCATCAGATTTTTCAACAGAAACCTTACAAATCAGAAGAGAGTGAAATTAAATATTCAAAATATTGAAAGAGAGAAACCACTAGCCAAGAATAATATATCCAGCAAGGTTATCCTTTAGGTATAAAGAAGAAATAAAGGCTTTCACATACAAACAAAGGCTGAGGAATTTTACCACTAAAAGACCTGTATTATAAGAAATGTTTAAAGGAGCTCTTCTACCTGAAACAAAAATACAAAAGTATATAAGCTTTGATTAAGATGACAGACAGAAGCAGGAAATTGCAACTTTATTTCAGAATACAGTATTAAATGCTTAACTATAACATAAAGGTTAAAGGGAAAAATAATTTTTGAAAAAGACTATAATTTTTGCAATTTGGAAAAAATGCATAGCATAAATAGGGATAATTGTGGCAACAAAAATATAAAAGCAAAGGAGAAAAAGGACTGACCTTACACAGGTGAATGAAGATGAGATGCAATCAGAAGAAAAGAATTACTGCATGTATGAGACATTTTTACATAAACCTAACAGTAACCACAAACAAAAACCTAGAGCTGAGACAAGTAACATTTTTAAAAAAGGAAACAGAGAGAAGAATCGTTAAAAAAAAACCCCACACATAACTAAAATAGCAGACAAAAACACAAAGGCATGGACTGAAGGGTATTGTGCTGAGTGGAGTATGTCAGACAGAGAAAGACAGATGCAATGTGATTTCACTTATATGTGGAATCAAAAGAACAAAATAAACAAACAAACAAAACAGAAACAAACATATAGATACAGAGAACATTTTGATGGTTGCCAGATGGGAGGGGGTTTGGGGGTAAGTGAAAAACGGAAAGGGATTAAGAAGTACAAATTGGTTGTTACAAAGTAGTCATGGGATGTAGGATATAGCATAAGGAATACAGTCAATAATATTGTAATAACTATGTATGATGTCAGATGGGTACTATTTTTATTGGGGTGATAGATGGAAGGGGTGTTGGGAGCATGGTGAAAAAGGTGATGAGATTAAGAAGTACAAATTGGTAGTTACAAAATAGTCATGGGGATGTAAAGTAAAACACAGGGAATATAGTCAATAATATGGTAATAGCAAAGTATAGTGCCAGGTGGGTACTAGACTAGTCAGGGGGAATCACTTCTTTAATTATATAAATGTCTAACCACTATGCTGTACACCTGAAATTAATATAAAATAATATTGAATATCAAAATAAATAAATAAGTGTAGAAAAAAGAAACAATGGGAATACAGAACAACTAGAAAACAAAAAGATAAAGTGGCTGTAGTAAGTCCTCATATATCAATAATTACCCAAAATGGAAATGGACTGAAGTCACCAATCAAGAGGCACAGAGTAATGGGGTGGATTGAAAAACAAAACCCAACTATATGTTGCCTACAGGAGACCCATCTCAGCTCCAAAGACAAATGTAGGTTCAAAGTGAAGGGGTTAAAAGATGATACCCCAAGCAAACAACATAACAGAGAAAAGCAGGTGTAGTCATATTTACATCAGACAAAATAGATTTTAAGATATAAAAACCAATAAGAGACAAAAATGGACATTTTTGTATAATAATAAAGGGGACAGTTCACCAAGAAGACATAACACTTAACAATATATATACACCCAACTTGGGACCACCGAAATATATAAAGCTATCACTAACAGACCTAAAGGAAGAAATTCACAAAAATATAATCATTATAGAGGACCTAAATACCCCATTGATAGCAACGAATAAATCATCCAAACAGAAAGTCAATATGGAATTATCATCCTTACCTGACACAATAGATCATATGAACATAACTGACATTTATAGAACTTTCCATCAGAAAATGACAGAATACACATTCTTCTCAAGTGCACACAAAACCATCTCAAGGATATACCACATGTTGGGGCACAACATTGATCTCAATAAATTTTAAAATGAAAACATACCACATATATTTTTTTTACCATAATGGTATGAACCCGGAAATTAACTACAAGAAGAAAGGTAGAAAACCTATAAATAGGTGGCGATTAAACAACATGCTACTGAACAACTATTGGATCAAAGACAAAAATAAGAGATCAAAATATATATCAAGACAAATGAAAATACAACATACCAAAATTTTTGGGGTGCAGTGAAAGAGGTATTAAGAGGGAAGTTTGTAGCATTATAGGCCTAACTAAAGAAAGATCCCCAATAAATAATTTAACATTAAACTTTAAAGAGCTAGAAAAAGAAGAACAAAGCCCAAATAAGTTAAGAAAGCAAATAATAAAAATTAGAGTAAAAATAAATGAAATAAGAGAACAAAAATACAATAAGAAAATTAATGAAGAGCTGGTCCTTTGAAAAGATTATCAAAATTGACAAACCTCTGTCTAGACTCACTAAGGAGAAAAGAGAGGAGACTCACTCAAAATCAGAAATGAAGGGCCAGCTGAGTGGCTCAGTTAGTTAAGAGCTCGCTCAAGAGTGTGAGCTCTGAGCAACAGCGGTTCAAGTCCTGGCCCAAGCTGAGCTGCTGCTGAGCTGCCAACAGGTGGCAGGATGGCTCAGCTAAAAAAAAAAATCAGAAATGAAAAGAGGAAAAGTTACAACAGATACCAAAGAAATACAAAGGTTTATACAAGAATACTATAAAAGGCTATACACCACCAAATTTGAGAACCTAGAAAAAATGGACAAATTCTTAGAGATATGTGACCCGCCTAGACTGAGCCATGAAGAATTGGAAAACCTGAGTAAACTTTCCTAAACCGAACAATGA